CTTATTTAATTAATATTAAAAGAAAGTGTCTCGTTTCCATTTCGGAATCTGAGATGTATATTTTATATAAATCCAGATTTTAAGTTTCTTCTTATTATGTCGTCGCGTATTTAAATTGATTAAAAATATAATTTTTCCTATTAAGTTGTTTCTGTATCCCATAAGGCTAAGTTAACATTGTAACTCTCGGTATAATACGGGTTAATTAATAGGATTGAAAAAATTTATATAGGATCGCGAGTCGCATGCTGGGGCTATATTGTCGCATATTCCATGAGATTATCCTTAATAATCACGAGTACTTTGGAGAGGGGACTTGCTCTGTTCTTTCTTACTTCTCTCTCGGTTCTCCCAGACCTCGTCTCGCCTCGTATCGTCAGTTTGACACCGTTGTATCTCACGCCAAGTACTCAGCCGGTTAACTCGCTGCAACCCAATCCACTCTTTCTCGCTCTTCCTCTTACCCTTCTCATTTTCCTCTTCCTTCGCATCATTATTTGCTCCCATGCGAGAACAGTTGCATCCCTTTATGCGTATCTCGAGATGCATTATGTACGCAAAACTTGACTTGATTAATGAAAAGAATAATAAATATTATCTACACATTTCATCAGAGATAACCGCAGTAGAATTGTTTTATTTTTATTATTCTATTTTATTTTCATTATTTTATTTATTATTTTTATTTTTCAGCAATTATTTGTGTTACCACTCGCGAAATACGATGTACGTGCTTCTTTTTATTTTTTTCATTCGAGGTAATCGTCGAAAGCGCGGTCGCGTAAATTCGCTTTCGGCATCGGTATCACGAGGGAAAAGGGTAGGCGCGCAGGGAGACGGCCTGTCGTGGGACCCCGCGTTCGATCCCGGCGATGAATTATTCAGGGTGTCTTGATCTCCAGTCGGGGCCGACAGACAGACGGATTCCGGTCCGCTCGATCACCGCGGTGGTGCCCCGCGATTTTTTCCCGGCCGCTCGCCAGATCCCGTCCTTCTTGCGCGAGCGAGCCAGATTAAGATCGCAGGAATCGCCTGTCAGCTGGCGACGACTCACGGCTCCCGGGATCGTCTCGTGCGCCATGTACGGCAGTCGTCGTCTTCCTCGCTTCTTCATTCATGCGCGTCCATCGTCGTCGATCGACGTCGGTCCACCGGGTAGACAGGTGGACACACTCCGCTCGAGCTACCATATTCAGTCATGTTAAAGCCACAAATGCGGATATAGCATATATCGGGATTACTCCAGAAATTTAATCTCAAAATTAGGAATTTGAACATATGTCATAGTTTTAGAGAATAATATTTTTTATGACGCGTATAAAATAATAACAAAATTAAATATATATATTTTCTATCTTTTTTTTTTAAGTCTGATATTGCTCATTTATAAGAAAATTAATGATTATGTCGCTCTAGTTGAAAATAAAAAAAAATAATACATATATATGTACTTTATAAACCAATATTTAAGAATTATTCTGTGCTAGCTTTTTACATAATAAACGACAACCGATTTTTGCGTGCGACCGCAGAAGCGAACGGTTAAAACGTTCGCCAAGTCGTAAATGAAGACGCTAATAGCGCGTCGTACGCGACGAGTGATGCTAATTCCCGATTATCTCCGAGATGACAATTTCCACGGTTATAATTGGCGAGACGACTCTTTTCGGCCGTGAAGCCGAGCATGCACGGTAGTCCCGCACAAGGATTAACGTTAACAAAGTCCGAGGCGTTCATCGTCGACTTGACTCGCGCGGCTTAAACGAGCCGATTCGTCGCGCTATACACCTGACTTCGTCTACGGGGTGTCCGTTTTTTCTTCACTTCTTCATATTTTTTTTCAAAAAGTATAAAATGTAATCTTTATAAATAATCTTTATCCTAATATATTTTGGATACATTCAATTTTTATTAGTATTTTTCCAAAGAGGAAATTGATTATTAATTGTTAAAAATACTCTTATTTGAAATTTATTTAATTTAGAACGAGCCAATTAAATGTAAAAGAAGTAAAATCTAAAAATTCGACGGTTAAGAATTTTGTATAAATATTTTGAGGAATATATTCTGTAAAAATATAAAATTTTGTCAACTAATTTAAATTGGTCCCTGATATAATTTTTTTTTCTCGAAAACGGACAGTTTTTTTTTTACTTTTTTATGCTGTAGTAGGTTTTTCAGTTCGTCGATTGTAGCTACATAGGTAGTTCATAAATTTTCACCATTTTCCAGTAACTCGTTTGCAAGACTTCCGTTATGGACTTGTCGGAATTACATGGTTTTCGAAAGCGATGTGAACACGACGGGATAATACTCGATCATGCTGCATGATCGTGCTTGACATGCGTGGGAGTTTTTCGGCCGTCAGTGCGAATCATCGAGCGTGATCATTTCGCGAAACCGAATGACGATCGATCGGCGTGGAATGACGCGCGTCACCTTTTTCGAGGTGCTCATTGGTCCGTCATCGTTTGTGACGTAGAAACCCGCAACTGCTCGTCATCGCTCGTTTATTTGACGTTTCCGACTGAACGCGTGGAATTAACCCTTTGGCCTTTAACTTTTTCGAACAACGCTATGGTTCATATTTACTGCTCATGTGATATCAAGAACTCTATAAAAGCGTTGATTTAGGAGAAATTTAATTTCTGGTTTTTTTATATAAAAGATATAAAAATTGGAGCATTTTAGATTTTCAATATAATAAAAACATTTTTTTTTTATAAAAATAATGCAGATAGTTTTTTCATATTTTTTTATTTTAAAATAGAAACTTATATAATAACAATTTTATCGTTCAGTGAAAAGCTCATCTTTCGAGAGACTTTTGAAATGTATGTATATAGGAGAAAGAGAAATTATGTATTATTTTATGCCGTCTAATGAGATCTTCATATCTCGTACACCCGTTACATACGTTCGTCAGAAGCATGCAAAGGTCGGCGGCTTCCCCTCACGCGCGTCTTTTGAGGTTCTTTTCGCCGCCTAATTGTATCGGGTGTCTTAATCAGCGTGTAAGCTACTAAAGCCAAAAGGCCAAAAGTGAACGAAAAAGAGCGGAGAAGGGGCTCGCCTCCGCACGGTGGGCCATCGTTCTGCATCTCAAAGGCGCAATTTAAAAAGTATGTTAAGTCGTTGCCATTATGCTCGATGTACTTATCCGCTCCGGGATCCCGTCAGACATGAATTTAGATTATGGTCCCGGTATTGTGTGTGCTTCCTCTTCTCCGTCTTCTAAGATTCGAATAGAATTTCGAAGCTACTTTTGGCATATCTTGACCTCGCTTACTTGAAAGAGAGAGAAAATTTCCGCGCTAAAGGTGTTATAAATCAAGATATAATGCTGAACGCGAGTTAAATTCTCTACTCCTTTATTTTTCTTTCAAATATTTTATACTTATCATCAATCTCACAGAAAATCTTATGAATAGAATTCCTCTTATCTAATTTGTATTTAAATTAAAAATAATATTTTTATCCTGCAACATATAATAATAATGGATAATTTTATAGGATTAAGATTTTTTTTTAAATATTTATGTATATTTCTTTTTCCCTTTTTTTGTTTATGAATTTATTAATCTTTTAAATTAAATTTTTTAATAATTTTATTAATCATATATAATTGCAGTATAACTAAAGTTACATTTAATAAACAGCAACAAGAGCCTTATTTTTCTGTAAGCTCTTTTAAATTATTTCTCTGTTGCTTGCTTACAATTTCTGCGACCAATTCAAAATTTTCTAATGTAATAACTTTAAATATAATACGTCACACAAATTTTGTTATCTGACGTGTATCGATTCGTCCGAGTATGAATTTCGATAGGTGAAGAGGAGAAGGGCAGAAGCATAGGCGATTACACTAGGGTTAACGTGGGTCGTATGGCACGTGCTGAGTGTATACTAAAAAGCAATAAACTCCTTCGGAACTTATCTCTTGTAATGACAACGCGCGGTAATATCTATATGAGATCATAATAAAGCCACCTACGTTCATGGGAGGCAAAACGACGAGGGCCTTTGAGGGCATATTGGAGCTCCATCTTTTGATCCTGCTCGCTAATTCGCCTCGTGTATTTAGGGATATACGAGTACGACGCGTAATTGAATCGAGCGAGCGCGGAAAGCTTTATAAACTACCCGGAAATCTTGACGATTGATAATTGAAAAGGATAAATTTCGAAAATATATCAAACAGCAAATAAAGAAATTAATTCGACAAAAAATCAATTATTACATAAATATATTTATGGATTAATACTATATATTAGCAATCTTCCTCTCTCTCCCTCCTCCTCTTCTCTCTTTATATATATCAAATTTTAAGGAGGAGGGATTTTAATTAAAATATCCTATGATTTAGATGATAAAAATTTATTGAAAGATTATAGTATTATATATAAGCAATTTATGTATATAATTTTGTGGGAGACAATTTTAATTTAATATCTTATGACTTAGAAGACGTATAATCGTCTACAGATTTTAATGCATGACAGCATCTTTTGAGGCAAAACATAAATGCGAAATAATTTGTATCTTTTTCAATTAATTCGTAATTCTTGAAACTTTAATATTATTCTTTTATTTAATCTTATTGTGTGCACGATTTTTGCCGTACATATTTACTACTATTGTTCCGATAATTATCATTAATGTTGATTACAGCTACAATAAGCATAACACAAATATTAATAACTCAATTAAATCTTATATAAATATCAGTTGAATATATTGGGAAGCTTTACTAAAGAACTTGATTAATTGAGAATGATTATACGAGGGCGAAGGACTTCCCGGGATTTTCAGGCTTCGATAAAAAATCTCGGTTCATTCTACAGTTTACTGTCAATCGTAGAATCTACCAGCCTGAAAGTGTCGGATGTGTGCCTTTTTCTGTGCATGATGAGCTCTTTGCTAATTGATGATAATTCTCTGTGTCTCTTTATCCTGATGATGACGATGACTGATGACCACTGTTACATGGGTGATTCTAGTGGGGCCTGTGTTCGGGGGCCGATGCGGCGCGGAGGCGCTCGGTCTGGGGCTGGGGCTGTCGCCGGGCCCGGCCTACAGGTTCGCTCTGCCCCCGGGACTCGCTGCCAAGACCACCCGCTGCCTTGTGTTCGACCAAGGTAGGCCCACCAGCCATCTTCATTGCCGCGATCGTCGTATCTTTGATCCTTTCAGGTTCTGATATTTGTTCAATAAAGTTCTTTTTTTTCCTTCTTTTTTTCCCCCCCCCCTAAAAGTTATGTTACATTCGGACGAAGATAAGTCCCGAAGAAAAAATATAACCATAGTGATGAAATTTAATTTGGGTGGTTGACGTGAGCTTTTGAAGAACCGAAAGGATTGATGGTATCGACCTCTTATTATTCTTATATCGCGCGAATGCAATTAGTCGTGTGATTAAATCTCGCACCTCTATGCGAAAGCATATAAGATCAGAGAGATTACTTGCATATAAACTACTTCATTTCATTTGAACGCAAGCGAGAACGAATTAGCACGATCTTGCAAACTTGAGAACGAATTTGAACGAATTTCAATACGTACGCAAATATGAAAACTTATTTTCGACTTATGCCGAATATTCCCAAGAGAGGATGGACGAATGAAAGCATAATTAACGACCTGCTCGCGTCGATAATCAGATCCGAAATGCATAATTAATTTTCGTTAAATAGCGTCTAGTTGCATCGGTAATTTTCGGCGAATCGCGTAATGAAAAAATAATAATAACAGGTAATTTGATCGAAGCAATTTCGGTAAGAGTAATTTTAATTTAATTATATTGATTGCAATTTAGTTTGATTCATCACAATCATTAAAATTTATGAGGTTATTTCAACTGAATTATTTTGATTAAATTAACATTATTTTATTTGTAGTCAGTCATTATATGTATAAGGGACGGTTGTATTCATTGTCCGAAAAATATAATGAGTGAATTTGATACGATATTCATTAAGAAAAAATCTGAAATTCTGAATTCTGTTTTGCGTGCAAAATTCGAAGAGACTTCTCATTCAATTTTTCCTTCATCACTTTAATTATATTTACATGCGAAAAATAGTTAGATTTCAAGTAACACAAGTTTACAATAATTTGTTTACAAAATTTTACTTTTAAATTCGAAATATAGCAGCGAATTTGCATGATCGAAGCTCACGAATGATACTTTTCAAGATTCGATTCGCGATTTTCACCGTTTCCGGTATCGCTTCCTTGATATCGCAACGCGATACAGCCGCGTGTTGTGCATCAGGTGCGCCAGCCGGCAGCTGGCGAAAGGCCCGACGGGTCTTAGGAGATTTGTGGACAGGAAGATGAGCATAGCTCGTGGGCTTAATTCGTGCAAACGCGCAAGTCGATCTGGTAGCTGGATTTGCGGGATCGATGGACCGCCGTGGCCAACTGGCCGCGCCGAATTCGCGAGAATGAACAGACGGATCGATAACTTGACCCGCCGCAGCCGCTGCGGCGGTATCCTCGTCCCTTCCCCTGACTTAAGCCCGAAATCGATCGGAATCAGTATCTACCTTAGCCGTTCCCTGATTCCGCCCTGTTAATTGGCCGGCTCTGCGTCCCTCAAGATTAATGACTTTCATAAGGTGAATGCACCGGTATCTGACGCTTTAAGCCAGTGACTCTCAGCCGCGTCGTCAAATTTATAATTATAATTGTCACACGCGAGTGTGTGTACGTGTGTGTGTGTGTAACAATAAAATAAATTCAATAAATACACGTAAAAAATAAAAAAATATGAATTATCTAAAAAGTTAATCAGCGCGTTATATTTTTTTTTTTTTTTTTTTTTTTTTTTTTTTTTTTTTTTTTTTTTTTTTTTTTTTTTTTTTTTTTTTTTTTTTTTTTTTTTTTTTTTTTTTTTTTTTTTTTATGAAAAAAAAAAAAAAAAAAAAAAAAAAAAAAAAAAAAAAAAAAAAAAAAAAAAAAAAAAAAAAAAAAAAAAAAAAAAAAAAAAAAAAAAAAAAAAAAAAAAAAAAAAAAAAAAAAAAAAAAAAAAAAAAAAAAAAAAAAAAAAAAAAAAAAAAAAAAAAAAAAAAAAAAAAAAAAAAAAAAAAAAAAAAAAAAAAAACTTCAACATTGTATCGTCGTTTAATCATTGCCATTTATTTGGTTACTCGATTACAATGCAACGCGATCGAGATACCACTGAAAGTGGAGAACAGTGGTTAATGGTGAAGGTTAAGTGGTGACATGTTCCGAGTATCGGATGATATATATCCGAGATTTTTTTATCCCCGCATGCGCAACGGTAATTCCCGGTTTTATTGCCATGAAAAGTGAGTGTTTGCTGTTGGTTTAGCGCATTCGCTTAAGCTTGACTGACATGACACTAATTTGGAGATTGTCGTCTCTAAAATCTCTCGCGTACATTTAGAAAGTTTTCTTGTAATAACGATAAATCATTGACTAGTAATCTAGTGTTAAATTGCTCCTTTTTATTTTTACCGCTTTCATTTCTAAATTTTTATTTGATTTTAATTTTTCGTTTTATCTAATTTATTCTCATAATTTGTAATAATATAACGAAAATGAGGTAAAACATATTTACATGCGTGCATATATATATATATTTGCATTTTAAAAAATGTAATTTATATTTGAATTATTTATAAGTAATACTATATTAACTATGTGACACGTTAAAAATTATATTGATATAACGTAGTATGCATGTGAAATTTGTGAAACACATCGCGATAATTCTTTAGGAATCCCACAGGCAGAGAACCTGGACATTATGTCAAGAAAACAAAATCATGAGCGTTGGCCAGAATTGCAGGGTCACCTCAACGCGCGCATAAATTCATATTTTATCGTGAAATGCATAATGCATCATTTCAGCGTATTTTAGGTGATGCTTTTTGGATACTCTTATGCATATTATTCGTACGCTCAGTCGCGAGTATTTCGTAAATGGATATAATCGGATAGTATTTCCCAATTAATATTAGATGTGAAATTTATCTAATATTTATATACCTAGTTCTATATAATAATCATTTAATTCTGAATTAAAAATTTACTATACGCATTTGGACACATTGACGTTTCAATATATATAAACTTTTTTAGCTATAAAAAAATATGGAGCGTATTAAAAACATGAAACATTTTTAAACTTAATTATTAATTTGTTCAAGTAAGATTTTAGAGGTTATAAAATGACGTTTTAAAAAGTTTTAATCGCTGAAATAATGTCGCGTGATGTCGACGATAAGGAGATTCACGAATTGAAATTAAAATCATTTAATTGATCATCCCGTGATAGAGCATCGTCCGAAACGTTCAACTAATTAAATCGGTAATTAAAGGCCGTAAGGAAGGTCGTGGATAAAGGAAACGGGGGCGGCAAGGATCTTCTCTTGGATATTCTTCTGGAAGGAAATAAGCTGCTGTTAATTTATCGTAATCGCTCGGTGTGACTAAGTAAGTGAGCGACGCCTCGCAATATTCTTTATTAAAATATCGGGCTACTTCTTCGCGCGTCTGCTCGATTTCCTCCCCGAATGTGCACTTCTGGATAAGAAACGATCGTGACATTATTAGTTCTCATCATGATATCTATACAAAACGCATTTTTAGTTTATTATTCTCATTTTTAAATAATTTACATTATGCTATTCCCAAAATCTTTAGCGAATCGTAGGATGAAATATAATTTTCATCGAAGGTATAATTATCATTTTCTTATTTTTATCGTAATATTAATGTAAAAATTTTGATTTATAAATCCATTTTGCGCTGCCATTAAAATCTCTTTAGCGTGTGTCCGCTCAGAAAATCACGGATGAACGAAAAGTTTTTTCGACCACTCCCGACAGCGGAGATGACATTAATTCCCGGCGACAGGGGTAAAACGCTTCTCCATCCGGAAGGACACGCGTGACACCATTTCGATCGATATACGCGTGTACCGGGGGCCTATAATCGCATCACGAGGCGATATCTCGATTCGTTTAATCGGACGAAGATGACAAGAGTCACAGGGACATTGCGAATTGTTTACCTTCTTATCCTTGTCCTTTATTGCAGATTTAAGCGATCAGATATTATGTGAAGAAATAAGATCCTAATACAAAAACGAAAGTGAGAGAGAAAAAAATCAGATTTCTGTATTTTTTTTTTTTTTTTTTTTAAATTTTTTTTTTTTTTTTTTTTTTTTTTTTTTTTTTCTTTATCACAAGAAGTTCTAACTGTATAATTCAGATCGATATCGAGAGACAGGAAGGAAGATAGTCCAGTGATAGAAGTCGGCATCGCAAGATGAACAAGAGTCACAGGACATTGCGAAAGTTGTCCTTCCACTCCTTCTTATCCTGTTGTCCTTTTACTGCAGATTAATTAAGCTGAGTCAGCGTGATGGATCGTGATGTGAACGAGAAGTGACACGACTTTCCTGAACTCGACGCGACAGAAATCTGGCGAAAGTGAGAGAGCAGAAAAAAAATCAGATTTCTGTATTTTAATTTTATTCTTTTTTTCTGTATTTCAAACTTTTTAATTCGTATTTTTTAATTGGTATTATTTTATACATTTTTTCTTTATTCTGTTATGCACAAGAAGAATTCTTAACTGTAAATTAATTCAGATTCGATAAAAAAATCGAGAGACAGGAGAGGATAGTCCAGTGATAGAAGTCGTGCATCGCCAGGCAAATAATCGCGTTTCATAAATGACTATCGCGATAAATCAGTCGAATGTCGGGTCTCTTTAAAGTTCCAAATAAGCAATAACTGCCGAAGTGCGGGGATGGGAAAATGGAAAAGCGCGCGGAGCAATGGATTTTTTTTTTTTTTTTTTTTTTTTCAAAAGAGGAAAGGGAATGAGTAGGGACAGGGATGAAGCGCTAAGTGGGTCAGTGCCGGCACAATATGGCAACAAAAAACATGTTGTTATACAGACCGCAACGGAGATGCGCTCGGTGCATACGCGTTTCATCCGGACCGATATACCTGATAACGAGTTACAAAAAGGCGGTACTGAAAAAATAACTCGCTCTATACAGGAAATGGATATTGAAATGTGTATTTCGGCGAGAAGGTCGAAGTAGGCCGGATATTGAAATATGCTTTCGCGCGTGGGGGATCGCTGTAGAATTCAA